TGTGAATTTGTGAAAATCGGTGTGAACTTGGAACACACTTGTCACCTGCTTTTACAAATACCTCCTTCTGGTAACAGTTCCAAGTGTTCTATTGTATAACTAAGCAATGCTTTATTTGTTTAAATACATATACTTATGCACCACTTTTACATGGAGACTGCACTGTGTGTAATCTTTCACTTCTGAGCTCTTTAATGTGCTTTCTGAGCTCCTTAACCTTATCATACTTTCTACCCAGCTAAAGAATATTTTATTTATTTATTTTACCTATTAAGGCCAGACATTACAGAGGGGGGTGGGAACAAAAGTTACGCACACATATACGCCAGTAAAACAAATACAGTTACAGTAAAACAGGTTTCTATATTTATATAACATTGGTTAGTGCTTCTCTAAAACGTTTATTGTCGGTGATTGTTGCGATTTCAGCTGGAAGATGGTTCCACTTGATAGAGGTGCGTGGTGAAAATGATTGGAAGAATGTTTTCATTTTTGAAAATGAATCACCTATTTTATGGTGATGATCGATGCGGTGTGACATATACTGTGGTTAAAGAACCGTTAAAGTTGAAATTTCCAGAGCCCTCCACTATCGCATCTCATAATCATATGGTAGTTTTGGGACGTTAAACCCCACATATAAATCAAATCATCAATCAATGAATCTATGAATGCTGAGACCGCAGGGTCTCTCGTCGGGGAAATGGCAGACTCCAAAAACATTTCCCAGAGACCTTGGCCACCAGAATTGCCATTTGCCCCACATTATGGCACAAAATAAAGAGCGAGATACAACGGCACTGGTACTATGGAGCAAATGAAAAGCATGATCTGTACGTGGCCAATATGGCACAGAGCTCTCCTCATTCAACCATACAAACATTGCTTACCTCAACAATAAAATTTAGAAAAGCAACATCTAGAGGGCTGATTACAGGGGTCCCTCAAGTTGCTGGTTTCCTTTCAGTGTCCACAATCAGTTTTCAAAGCCAAGTGCCTGGCATGGCTTATGTCTCACAAAGGAAGCAAGCAGCTTCAACTTATTAAAATACCTCTATATTCTAATACACCTCATACAACTATATTTATTTGCAAGAATTAGTGCAAAGGTAACTGTGCTGTCGGTGAACTCAATGCTTTTGGGGCACTACATTTGTAAGCAGCAGGCATGCTGTAATGAAAACTCAAGGGCAGGTCACACCGCTGCACTGTATGCAGCAGAATGAATGGCAACAAGGACTGCATAGAAGTATTGGAACATTTTTTTTTCTTACTGTGTGCTAATGTGATGAAAACAAAAAAATAAGCAACTGCGGCAACATAACTCACCACAAAGCACATTCAAAATTGCTAAAATGTGTATTTTCTGCAATTTAACTGAACAAGACTGGCCACACAGCTGGTCATAAGCTGTGCTGTTTCTGACAATGTGTAACTACTTTATGCCTATAACTCCTTCATACCTTGTACTAAAAAAAAAAAGAAATGCTTTCTCTAACTTCCTTGTATTTTTGGATACCTGGGCTATCTTGCTGTGAGGGTATCCACACTTGACAGTGAAGGCTCCCTTTGAAATGATCCCTTTGAAAATAATTTCAGTATCTGAATTAAGATTTCAGTGTTTAAGTATAGCACATAAAAATGGCATAAGTTAACGCTAACCAAAGGCATGGTAACAGAAAATGAGGTCATTTGTGCATGAGGATGGTTTGATGGAATTGTTGGCATTTACGTAACGGGTAATCATAAAATTCGTGTTGTCACCCGAGTCTACACACACACACAACGCTACTTAGCAAAAAAAAAAAAGCAGCAGCGTGTCTTTTGCAGCTATGTTTGAATGTAGATAACGTCATGGGACTCGTTTATCAGTAAGCTCAAAACATCTGAGCAAAGGTAAATGACCTCAGAAAAATCTGAAAACACGTACAGCGTTCTCACAGCTAGTCTATCCAACCAAGCAAGAAACAGCACCGCTTCTAATGGGGACAATATACTGTGGCGGCAGGATGCGCATGGCGTCGTCGTTTCTTTGCCTGTTTTATGACTTTTTCCTGCCAGCATAAAAGCGCCCATACACAACTATATTGCGATGGCCAAGCCAAGGCAGCTTTCGATTTGAAATATATTGCCAGCAAATATCACGAATGTCAACTCTGTGCAGAGATTTATCAAGGTCATTGGCTGTGAACCGAAATTCGACTGCGCAAGCGGCAATCTTAACCAAAACCGATAGCACAAACATGCATAGAAACCTAAACACACACGGCTTACGTGAAGTATCGCTTATAGTTTCACCACTCTGACATTAATTCCACAAAACAAACTGAGCAAGGCCGCAATTCAGTTTTATGCTTTCCTGCACACGGAATTTTCCAATCGAGCATCCTGCTGTCACGGAGTGTCCTGTCGATGCTGGAAGTACCACAAGTTTGATCGCCCGACAAAACCTAAGGAATGAGCGACGCGTTACAACAAATGGCTTCATTAGAGAAACACACGAGGTTTAGGTATCGCTATAAGCGAACGAAGGAGAACACGATCACGAACAGCCAACGCTGCTACGCGAGTGCTACTTATGAAGAGGTGGAAAGATTGCGTAGAAGTGACAAATAACAGCTCCTTGTCGACTACTTCACAAATGCGCAGTCGCTAGTTTTAAACGGTGGACACGATAGGCGAGGTAGTCTAAAGGCAGGACTGGTTTCATGACGTGCGCACAGGGGCGTACCGATTATGATCGACCAGAAATGTCGGAATGCCGAGTTTTCGCTTGGAAGGGCACGACCAGTCGCCTCACAAAGTCGATTGTCTGCGCACTGACGCGGGTGGGGCGGGCGGCTCGCATCTCGTTTTGTGACCCCTCTCGGGGGGCTCCAAGACGCACCGCTGCGGCGGCCGCGTTCCCGTACACTAGTGGACTGACCAGCTACTGCGAAAGCCAAGCCCCGTCACGCGCGGATCGATGAGGCTACGCGACAAAGCACCAGCCGAGTCAGCCATGCGTGCGGCGACCTAGCTGAGGATCCTCGGCTCACCTTGTCAGACGGAATCCGACTGCTCATCGCTGCGAGAGTCGAGCACAAGGCTGGAATCCGCGACGCAGCCGACGAAACGTTTCCGCAGGACGGTGCCTAATGGTGGACGGTGGGCTATGCCTGACGACGACCCACGGCAGAGATCACGTAACGAGCATCACTTGGATGATCGGATTTTCGCGACGCTCGCGCCGCTCGCAAACAAAGGCGAGCATGAGAATTTATTTAGGAGCTCCGCGGACACATCACACGGCGACAAAGTTGACGGGGGGCAATCCAGTTCCGATACAGCTCCTCGAAAATGGCGTTCCTCTCCCCATGAGCCCCGGTGCTTGCTGGGAAATGTTGACCTCGCGCGCTGCTCAGCGGTGAACGATGGCACTCGGCCGGAGGCCGATCGATTGCCGCTTGTTTGGCCTGTATTCGCGCTCTCTTTGTAGGTTGTAGGTATTCTGTTGTTCAGCTCCGTGCGGGTACTGCCAAGCGCCGTAGGGCCGTTAGCGACAATGCAGCCATACATATACGTTGGTAGCCGTGCTCGCTCAGCTCACCGCAGACTGCACCGGTGCCTGACACATACCCTGAATGTCGAGTTGCGTTAACCCATGCTCTTTACGTTATGCTGAAACTTGTGCGCTCATTGGCCGCCTCCTTTTTGATTTCGTGCGTACCAGATTAGCGAGGAGGAAAAGTACCGCTAGTTTCGTCACATTTGCGTCTTGGTTGTCTTTCCGCATTTTTGCCACCCGCCGATTCTTGACAGGCGTAAGGACTGGTCGTATACTTAATTGCAAAAGTAACAATGAATATTCGATTCTTAATCTAGCTTATGTGCAGCGTAGGAAGCTAGACACTATGATCTAGAAAACTAAGCAATTTAGAACAAAAGCTGACAGTATTTTTATCTTAAGGACCACCTAATTCACTGTGATCATGCATGCAGAGTGAGTGAAAACATCTAATAAAAATAGAGAGGAAAGCATGGGCATGTTGCTGACCAAGAGTCTACGAAGTTGAATTGATTGCAGCAGTGTGCTATAAAGAAGGAATCATTTACAATGGGAGAAACTCAAAAGATGATGAACCGGAAAGAAAGCTCTATTGAGTCACTGACAACAAATTGTGTGAGGTCAGAAGGCAAGGGGCAAAACAAGTTAAGGACAATAACATATGAACATTGACAATGGAACAGGTAATAAATCGGTGTCTGCTCTTCCTGACATGCTCTTTTCATTAAAACTCAGACACGCACTACTACATTTATACTGTTTCAATTTTTCCCATTGTCATTGTAAGTGACACACACAATTTAAGCAACTAGTTGATTGATATGCCATAAGGAACGAGAATGTTCATAACTTCAGAATGACAGCATGCACACTGAAGAAACAAAAAAAAACGAAAAAAAGACATAGCCTGTGCACCTTAAGCTGGATGTGTTCTATGTCATTGCAAGGTCACTCTGAAGTTATGGATAGCCAACTTGCTCAGAATACTGCTCTCATTGAGACAGATTTTCTGCTTCCACCATGAAATGTGTAAAGGAGACATCTTTATGTGCTTGTGTTCATCTGCTCCTTTCTGCTGTGCCATTTCATAGCACTACTTATAATGACATTATTGTCCTTTCTGGATGTTCAGAAAAATAGTCCTGAATGACAATTTTTCAGACTGGAGGTGTTTGTAAACTAGTCACTGCATAAATGTAGTAACATACAAAAGTTCCCTTCTGAATTAGCATTTCAAATACCAATGATGTTTTATTTTCTCACAATTTTTATAATGGCTATAGCTGGCTTTCATTTGGAAGTTTCTCATGACGAACTCCCCAAAAAGCCATTCTCACAAGACATTCACCTTGCAGACACTAAAGCATTCAGCTGCACAACACTCTTAAAATGGAACTGCAACAATTTCCCGGCCTTTGCCTTTTTCTTTGGTACATGCAAACAGGACACAGGATTACGCAGTAGTTGTTTATTTTAAAACGTGCATTCATAACATAGGGATATCATGTAAATATAATATAACAAAAAAAGATACAAGGTCAGCACAACTGACACAAAAACTAATTTCCAGCCCTATTTCAGTCTGCAGATGACAAGGGAAGCACACACAGGAAAGGAGACCTTTAAATTTTACTGCTGGTCACATTGCAACTAGAAAGTTGTCAGCTGAAGTCACCCGCTTGCATTGACACCAGCATTTATTCAGAGCCTCCTATTGCCACCTGTGCCACGGCCGCTAGATGAAAAAGTCCATGCTTTTTCATCCAGCGGTTATGCCAGTGCCAACGGTACATTAGACTCGACATTAGAACCTCATCTGCTGAGCAAAATTAAAAGTTACTGCCTTTAGAGTTCGAGCTGTCTGACCTGCAGACATGAAAAAAAAAAAAAAACTGCAAGTACTAAGATCTTTTTATTAGCAACGTGACCAGAAAGTTTTTTTTCTTTCTTTTTTGCTTGAGGCAGGGAGATCGTGTGCTTAACCTAGCAGTGGCCATGGTCAATAAAAAATAATGGCTGCTCAAAGCAAAATATACCTACCTGCCAAAGAGTCATCAATGTAACAAGCAGCATGTTTCACCGGGTATCAGGTTTGCTTGACAATACATTTTCCCTAAATAATACTATGACTGCACTTAAGATGGCCAGAGGCTTTTCTAGGCACTTGCGTGCTGAACAATGCTCACCGTACATGCCCTTGTGGTTGCAGTGATAAAATGGGGATGCGATTCTGTACGACTGGTATCACATCTCCTCACAGAACGCCAAACGAACAAGGAACATTAAAATTGTGCTAATGAGTGACATTTCTTAATCTATCAGACGGCCATGCCAAATAAATTTGTGAGCCTATGTCTGTCTGACTACTTGTGGCAGCACGCTACTCGTTATCACACACAGCAGTCATCAGCTAAAAGAAACACACTTATGTGTGCCTTTTATTTGGCAGGTGCATTTCATGCAAGTGCCGGCTGAATTTCATCAGTGCACCACAACACTGCGTAGAAGGCTGTGGATATCAACAGCATCGTGCTGTGAAGACTGGTAATTATGCACTCATCAGAGAGAAACGTTTACACACATTCAATGTTCACGTGCCCTCTTTTACCAGTCTACAGCTTTTTAGATACATGCATTCTACACAAGTTCGAGCAACTAGCTATTTCGAATTTTTTCTCATTACCATTATCACTGATCAATCTTTGCTTTGACTAATTGCTAATGTTCACTGGATATGATGCAACAGTCTTTTTGCACCAAATCTTTGATAACTTTCTTCCTGATCACCTGTGGTGATATGAGAATGAATATCTCACTTCTTATCATGTTCTGATACGCAATATCCAGAGCAATACTTCAACATTGTAGATGCTCGCATGAGACAGTGTACCTGCCGTACGTGCAATAACTACATTTTCCACATAAAATTGAACAGCTGACAGTTAGAAAAGTCTGCTAAAAACAAAATCACACAAAGGCCTGAATAGCAGCATACTCTATTTATCATGTGTGGCTCTGGTCATATGCATTAAGCCCATCTATCTTTTTGTTTTTCAAGGTAACATCCAAGAAGTATGACTGATCGATGGTTCAATTCTGATTGATTGTGACTATTCCAACAAAATCTATTTCAGATGCTGTGATTCCTGTGCCTGCGCACAAGGGGGGCTCGCTGCCCCTCAAATCATCTGAAGGGGGCACCAATTGTGCCTCATACCTTCCTTTACTCAGTGTAACTTTTTCTGCCATTCTTTATTTCGCGGGGTTATTGCTAGGCATGTTTTCAACAACAATGGTAACCAAGGACCCCTAACGTTGCATTCAAAGATCCGTTTATGTCACACTTTCACTCTGGAAAGCTGGGGACCAACGCAGGCCTTTTTGAGAAGCCCTTTGTCTTTTCATTTTTATCTTTGCCTACACTACGGAGCTCGTTTTCTCTCAGACTTCACCAATAGGGAGGGAGTGGAGTCATGGTGGTGAAGCTTCCCCCCATATAGAACAACCCTGTGCACACCTATGCTGTGATTGCAGGAGTTATACACTTTGTGATATCTCGCAGCAACAATGCATGATCGGTGGCAGGCACATAAAGCAGTCATTGTGAATAGATGCACAAGAGAAAGGACATAATAAAAAAAAGAAAATACAGAGTGCTTTTTGAAGCAGTAAGGAAAAATTCATGCATTACGCGAACAGGGCATATTACTTCCACCCTTGGTATAAAAAATGTAGTGTCCCAGTGAATAGGTAAGACGTGTCACAGGACGTGCTGACAACAGGCCGTCACCTTGACGGTCGGACATTGAGCTTGATAAAAGTTGGCTACATAGCAGAGCGCTTAATAAGCTCCATAAATTAAAGTATTACACAGTGCATTCAAAATATTCAAATGGAATATAGGCAGAATGAAAAGAAAGATAATAAGAAAAGCTCATATTATAAAAACCCCTATGCACTACTTCACTTAGACGTACGAAGCGACCGGCCATCCTAATTCGGCAGCACTCCTTGGCAAAATTGGAGTATATTTGATAACCGTGCATACTCCCAGCGTATAATCAAGAAGTGGCACTGTCATACACTCCGGAGTCAAAAAAGCGATTACAAAGTCAACCAACATTTAAGGGTATGTGGAAAATTCTATCAAGACACCGGTGTAGATGTTCCCAGTGAGAGTGCCTTGGTCCTTGCCAGGACCCAAACTGGACTTGTTTGAAAGCATATGAACAGTGGCAGCACCTGCAGATGCTTGCGGCATTAAAAAAAAAATAAACCAGTGCATTATTTTGCCCAGTAGTAATGTAGAGTATGTGTGTGTGTGTGATGGGTGCATACATTTAGATGTGTTGCAACCACCTGCAAGTGCTTACAGAGCTAATACATCATTTTAAGAAAATTCAGATATTCGAAAGGTGTGCACTTTGCAGCTGCGGCAATATGCCGCAGCTGCAAGAGTGACGGTCTAACACTGGTGTTGCAACAGAAAGCCTGCAATAATGCCAAAATACACAATGAACATGCCTTGCGATATGCACTTGCTTCTGTGAAACTGTCTCAGGACTTCAAACATGACGCATGTACCAAGCCAAGTGTTCCAGTTGTTCTGCCAGTAAGGTTTTCCAGGATATCAGTTAGATGAACATAGGAACTTGTAAGGTATTGTGATCACATTCTTAGCACTAAAGTGGCCTTTACACTTGACCCAGTACAAAAAGGAATACATAGCACACAAAGCATCAAACAAGCACCCACGCACATGCCCTCGCGTGAAGTACGAAATGCCCAAAATATACAAAGGGCCCAACCTTACCACTGTCGGTGAAAGCTTACAGCAATAATGAAAGTGTGAGATTTCTGGATGGTAACTTATCACTCTACTACCTATCAATCTAAAATTCAGTGAAATAACTGCTGAAATATGATACTCAAAAAAAAAAATGTTGCAGGCCGCAAGCTTTACTTCCAGATTAATCATGATGTCCTGTGCTTCGTTATTATGTCCCTGAAATATAAAAAAAATTTCAAGTAGCTATATATGCAAAAGTTTGCACTTGCACTTCTAGTTCAATCAATCTTGGTATGATCAAAGGAGAGTCATTTGACTACAGTTCAACTAAACAAGCACCTATCTTGAATCTCTACTGTTTACCTGCATTTACGTATGTTGTGTTGAACTTCATGTCAAGGAAACTATGTGTGCGACGAAACGGGACTGCTACGTAAGATACTCTTTATAATCGCATACTTGTTAAGGGCAGATACAGGAAAGAAACATCCTAGATTTAACTTATTATAACTAATAACTTGCCTAATCAAGGTTCTACTAGGTACACATTCTCAAGTTCTCTTGAGCTCCCTACAGAAGACTTGCAACTTGTTTATACTGCATTACAGCTTGTAAAGGTGCATTAAGTAGGTTACATCAACAAGAAATCTTCCACTTCCACTTGCAAAGTGTCAAAGACGTCATGGGCCCCTCGTGTATACACAAATCACACCACTCATACGAGTGCATCACAGGTAGTCGTAAATAAAATATGGCCTCTTAACACCGACGCAACATACATCCGCTATATGGCCTTGCAAAACAACTCTAGCTTGAAATGTCAAACTTGCAATAGGAGAGCCACCCCTCGCGACACCCAGGTGTCCACTGATTGCCTCGGATGTGTCACTTAATGACAGATGTCTAAAGAAGCATTTATATGGTGCAAGAAAGTGAAGCAGTAAAGATACACACGTGTTTGCACTGCATCAACATGTCATCTTACATAATGCATAGCAGGTCAAGTGCAAATGGATGGTATGTGCACTCCAAAGCATGTCGTCAACTTGCTCGGTAAATGTATAATGCAACATTTATGAAAAATTAAACCAACACTGCCCTTGTTGTTTTTTCATACCATCGTAACTACATTGAATATTTGTGATGAAATTAAGTTCAAGCTTAGGCCACTTAGGCTGCCAAGAGAATGCATAAGCTTAAAGTGTGCAAAAAAAAAAAAACTAATCACAAGGAACAGACACCGACATTTAGTTCACTGCCTGTCTCAACCCATTGCTTGAGTTTGCACTCATGTTGTTTAGCTTTGAGCAATCCATGATTGGACACATACTTATAATAAGTGTTATGGCTTAGACAGGTCAAATCAGTTGTTAACATGCCTCTGAAAACTTCAACAATCTTGTAACCTCAACCAAAAAATAAGACAAGCATAACTAATGCCCTGGAATCTAGATGCTTCATGTGAGGCTTTTGCATCTTTATTTTACATGTATTCATCTGATTATTTACTCTTGTTATTCTGCTGATAGTTTGTTGAGTGAGCTGAGGTATGCTGGGCTTTTTTGTTGACATCTCCCACAATGCACGCTATGCTGCGTCATACCGAATTGACACAAAGGCATTGTGAAGTTTACTTTTCTTTCCCATTCAACAACTTCAGAAATCATACTCGCATTATGTTCAATACCACGACCTGAAGACAACAGCCAATTTATAACGCTTGTTCTTCCTCGAATTTTGAACTTTTACAAGCGGCTAGCTGGGCTGCTACACAGCTAAATTTAGTAAAAAGCCAACCTTGCATAAGAACCAAGCATAAGTACACAAACAATAGGAGCACAACTCTCAGCAATGAAGAAATATAGCAGCAACAAAATAAAAAGGCTCAATTGTAGCACGAGACCTTATCTAGATAAGTAACCTGGGACAGGGAGTTAGTGAATTTTCGCTTTTGTCCTTTCGGTACACTGCTGAGTAAACGTTCAGGAGTCAGCCCAATATGCTTAACACTTGTAGCATTATTGGCATTCCTTCCTTTCTTTGATGATAAATTTCCATCTACCTCTCACCTTATGAAAGCTTTAGCTTATACGCATCTTGACATTATACTCTGATTAAACGCAGCCGCCATGGCCATTAACAGGGACTGAAATGTTTTGCTTAGCAAAAAAAAAAAAAGCCTTTGGCAGTTGCGTTATGGTGATATCTAGAGGATTTCGCAATGGGATCCAACGAGCTGCTTAGTGTTTCCAAAGGCATAACTAGACCTGGGTGTGTAAGGTGGAGCTGCAGTCTAGATTATCACAGGCTTTGAGCCACAAAAGAGGCTCAAACAGAGCATCAGGCCGATGCACAAGGCTCATGATGAAGCAACAATACGGGTCTCTGGATCAGACGGGTCAAATCAGGCAAAAGGCAGCCCTCGGTCATTAGGTTCCCTAGCATGGAAGGAAGCCTTGACAGGGCCTGTGGAAAAAAAAAAAAAAAAGACTTTAAGCTATAATAACTTTTGCTTTCTACAAATCTGTACACAATATAGTTTATACTTGTGCTAAGGTACTCAGCTCCATAGCTGACTGTGCTAGTGCTGGGCCCACTAAAAGAACAGCCACTACAATCTATAGGAAATAAAAAATGCAACAATTCACTCCGAAATTACACCTAGTCAAATCACTGAATGGGTCCAACTGGTCATACCAGTTTCTAGCAATTGGTGCCAAATGAAATGAATTGGAAACCAACTGGAATGCTGCACTTCAATGGGAGAGACCAATTGGTCATTCCAACTGGTCCACCATAGGCCACCTGGTCTCCCAACTGGAATGCTTGTCAGAGCAATTGGCTACACACACTCCCATTGAAAAACCACTGGAACGAAGCACATTTCAATGACCTCCCAATTGGAATGGTTATTGGCCCAATTGGATGTGCACATTTGAACTGGAAAAGCACTTTCCAGTGAAAGCAGGCTGATTATTTGAGACGGTTTAGTTGTAATGTTTGTCACTAGCATGGAAGTCTTAAAAAAAAAAAGGTAAGGCAGGGACCACAACATCCACAAAATAAGTCAGGTCTCTAGGAAGTGTTATGGCATATACACATATTTAGACAACATAGGAACTCCTAGGGATATTTCAAAACTGGCTTTTATAGGAAGATTCAATTCGTTTAATTTAATTAGCTTTTTGTTTTCTTCATGGAGTTCCATGTGCAAATTCTTTGAAGTCAGCAACGAGTGTGGCACTAATAATTTTGTTATACATTTTCAGAAGTTATGGAACTGAGGAATCTTTGTGAACTGCAGAACTCTGCTGATATGTCAGTACCTTTTCTTACAGACGTGTTAGGAGTACACTGTAACCTTATCGTAGCAGACAGCCTGTGCTCACACAAAAGCACAGGCTGAAAACAGTTGAACAAGGGTTGATTTCACAATAACTCTCCAAAAAAAATAATTTGCAATTGAAGCAGTAAAATGCAGTCAAAATAAGCACTAAAATAAATATAAAACATTCCTGTTCATAAAATTTTGTATGGTTTCTTCCCAAAAGCAATAATCTTACAGTTAAATTTTCTTGACAGTGCATGTTCTGCAGCTAGTCCCATCAGCATGGCCATCCCGCCGAACTGAACCGTGCTTATTTGGCAGCACATACCACAGGTTACCAGCTTTATCAGCATGTTTTACATTCAGCATATTTGTAATACCTATTCACGTTACCACATACCATGAATTCAGCACTATTTCTTTGCATTTGAGGTAAATATTTACCTTTGAACTACTCCAGTTGTTACAGTATTACTTGCTTAGACACACTTCATTTGTTACCCTAACTAGCATTAGCTCACGACTGCAGCAAGCATGATCTGCAGTAGCTACTCTACCCAGCAGGTCTTGTTACATCATTAACAATTTCACCATTTGTGAAGAGGTCGGCACACTTGTCTAGAACACTACCAATGTGGGGGTGCTGACACCCCCTGTAAAGTTTTTTGCACTGCGTGGCTCATGTATCTCGCACACAAGCCGTAATTCGGGGGTGACAACTATTGAGCGACAGGTGGCATTGTGTTCTCGAGCGGTGATCACCACTATCATCATCATGGTTGGTACAGCGGTAGCGCCGGCGGTGACCCCTGGCGGAAAGCAAGCCTTGGTGCTGGGCGAGAGAATGGAGAGTCTCTTCTGCGCGTGGCGTTTGGAGTGAACGGTTGCTCTCGCAGCGTGTCCCGGTGTACGGCATCGCGGGCCGTCTGCCGGGGGCTCGCGCGGTGAGTCAAGCATTGGCGACGCCGCCTTTTATGTGCTCTTGTGTTTGTTATGTTGCTACGTACTGAGTAATATTGTGTAAGGATGTCTTAGCGGGTTGATCACGATTGATGTTATATAATTGGGCTGACGATATCGTCGATCCAAAGTAGCTAAATAAATGTGTGTATTGGTTGATTTGTTCCACCCGTGTCTGCTGTGTCCGTTCGCTCCAAGAGCGTGGCACTCGCCATTTCGAGACCCCACACTAATACGCTCCAGACTGCACTGACGTTTGCCTCCATGGCCGCTCAGATGAATGCTTAAAAGTGGGCTATCTCAAACTACTTGTCATCGGTATACACGGTGACGGAGCGTGCTATTTCGGTGTTATAGACAAGAGTGCTCATCTTTGTACTACAGCCATGCAGTCCATTTTCCTTATTGCCTCGTGATATTCTTCTCTCACGCAGCCTGCCTGATTGCTGACGCAATGTAGAATGAGGAACAAAGAACCCTAAACAAGGAGAATATATCGGCGACCTCGTTCTTGGAAGCTGTGCAGCAGAATGGGTGACGGCTTCACAATGACCCTTGGTAGCAGAAACTGGAGAGCTGTGCTATGAAACCTCCTCTGTATGAGATGTTTTCACCGAACTACTGTTGTGTAATAAAAGCATTTTGTGTAAAGCCACACTTAGCTTTCATTGTATGACCATATGCATCCAGCTGATTGACAAGTTGGAGACTACTTTATTTCTATGGGGACATTCAAAATGTGCAGCACCGTCTGTCGACGATCCCGTAAACTTGATCCACCATGTTTTGTTGGGCACGAACACGTAACCAGTTGCATCACAGCCTTTACGGTGCAAGTTGCTTATTATTTATAATCATTGTGTTATGACTTCCCATTGCTTCATGTGCTGTTCAGGTAATGAAGGAGTCCTGACAGTGCCGGGAAGAAGGTAGAACTAACTATAATTGAATCTATATCATTTACATGAACTAAGAAAAGAACATACTTGTTTTGTCAATAAGATGGGCACTGTGCTTAGGTTCAGAAATTCAGTGCTTAATTTATCAATCTAACATGATTTATTGTACATATTGTAATGTAGATGTAGTGGAGCTCGGGAATGGGTGCGCATGGGGGGCATAGTAAGAGAAAGAGAAGAAGGAAGTGAGATTAGAACAGCTCGCTCGCAGCAAGGGTGCTGTGTCTGTCTCTCTTATTTATTACAATGGCGCAGTCAACAGGGACATTCAATTATTTTGGCACTGGGAGCAGCTATGGTGGCGTCCATGCGTACGAAAGCGATACGGAGCCACAAGCAGCCACTTTTTGTCTCAGTTACCGTGGATGTAAAGATTGCAGAGATGGCGACACAGATGCTACTACGCTGAATCACAATCACTCTCCAGAGTTTGCCCAAACCCGTGTGCCTTCTAAGCTGCAAAAGCATCTACCTTCTACCTGCTTAGCTCGCAAACTTGGATGACTACCAGCACCCCAAACTGCGGCAACAGAATATCTGGCGAACCGTGCTGCGGCGACATCGAGGTAGCCAAGGTCGCCCACCGGAGTGTTTCGCAGCCAAGTGAGGTGAACAAAGACCCCCAAGGCACAGCCAACACCACCCACCAGAGACGTTACTGATCGCGATGACAGTTCAGGGTACACGGCAGGTGGGCCTTCAACGACCACTGCCGCACAGCCAATGTCGTTCACCCGAATGCATTTATGAAGCTTGTGGCGACGCAAAGCGGTGCTTCTGTGTGCGGTGCAGAGAGTGCATGCGCCCGCACAAGAAAGTTATCTTCGAGAGGAAGGGTGATAATAAAAGTTGTTGTTTGGGACGCGAGTTGTTCACTTGCGCAGCTCTGCCGAGCGACGCGTCTCAACATTGGTGACCCGGACTCGGAATACAGACACAGCGACCGGAGTGTCGAACCAGCCGCAATATGGATTCAACGTCCACGACCGACGCCCCTCCGACAGTCTCCTCAGTCGATGGTAAGCTGCCCCCTTTTTGGACTGCGGACCCCGCACTTTGGTTCATACAATTGGAATCTCAGTTCACAGCCAGACGAATCACCACAGACCTTACGAAATACCACTACGTAGTCAGCAGTCTGCCGCCCGCCATAGCCAGTGAAATCAGGGATCTGTTGCTCGCACCACCTGTCGAAAACGCATATGCAACGCTAAAAGAAACCCTTATTCGCCGAGTTATGCCCTCCGAACCACAACGACTGCAGCAATTGCTTCGCGGCACGGAACTCGGCGACCGTACTCCTAGTCAGCTTTTGCGGCACATGCAACAGTTGCTTGGCGGAACATCAAACACGATAGATGGAGTATTGCTCCGAGAACTTTTTTTGCAAAAGTTACCTGCAGGCGTCCGCATGGTCATCGCGGCCTCAGAGCACAAGGATTTAACCGCAGCCGCCGAACTTGCTGACAAACTGGTAGCAATGACACCGCCCACACCCATGGCTGCCGTGCAAGCGCAACAGCCTCTAAACGAACTTCAAGAGATGCGTGAGGAGATTGCTCGACTTGCCGAAACAGTATCAGCTTTGCACGCTAGCAGGAGGGCGCAAACGATAACCGAGCCTAACACGCCGCTATCGCAAGAGCAGCACGAGCATATCTGCTGGTATCATCGGAGGTTCGGAAGTAGTGCGCGTAAATGTGTCCCACCGTGCGCGCACTCGGGAAACAGCCGCGGCAGGCACTGAGGACGACCAGTGCTACTACGTTGCCTCCAAGTCGTCCCTCAGTATTTTTTATTACCGACCGCAACAACGGAGTACGTTTCTTAGTGGACACAGGCGCCAAGGTGAGCGTTATACCGGCGTCACAAGCTGAAAGAAAGAAACCTAGTACATCGCCCTTGCAAGCTGTCAATAACACGGTGATAACAACATATGGCCATCGTTCACTGTCGCTGAACTTCGGTTTCGGCAGAACGTTTAGCTGGGTGTTCATAGCTGCTGATGTCAAATTCGCCATACTAGGCGCAGACTTTCTCCAGTTTTTCGGTCTGTTGGTCGACGTCCGCAACAAACGGCTTCAAGATCCCGTTTCTCGGGGAGCGGTACAAGGCACGCCGTGTTGGCACCCCCCTATCAGCCCGGCCTTGCTTAGTCCGGCTGGAGAAGCGTACTTCACCGCAATACTACAAGAGTTCCCAGAGCTGACACGACAGCCACAGGTATTTCCAGAAGTAAAGCACGGCGTCCTGCATCACATCGAAACCACAGGCCCACTGGTCTATGCGCGACCACGGCGCCTGTCACCCGAGAAGCTGCGGTTGGCTCGACAGGCGTTTGCCCACATGATGGAACTCAGAATAGTACGTCCTTCATCCAGCCCATATGCGTCACCTCTTCACATGGTCCCAAAATCAACAGACGGTGATTGGCGCCCTTGCGGGGACTATCAAGCGCTGAACCGGGTAACCGTGCCAGACCGTTACCCAGTCCCGCACATTCATGACATGACCTCCTTCCTGCATGGTGCTACCATTTTCTCTAAAATAGATCTAGTGCGAGCATATCATCAGATACCCGTAGCACCGGAGTATATCCCCAAGACCGCAATAACAACGCCGTTCGGCATGTTCGAGTTCCTACGCATGCCTTCCGGCTTACGCAACGCCGGCCAAACTTTTCAACGGTTTATGGATGGCGTTGTCCGTGGCCTCGACTTTTGCAAGGTATACCTCGATGATCTTCTGATTGCTAGCAGCACTCCTGAAGAGCACGAGCGGCATCTGCGCTACGTACTTCAGCGACTGACAGAGAACGGCATCGTTATCAATACGGCAAAGTGCGTGTTTGGGGTACCGACACTATCATTTTTGGGCCACAGCATTTCAAGTGCCGGAGTACAGCCCCAGAAGGACAAGGTGGAAGCAGTACAGCAGTTTCCACAGCCGAAAAACCTCCGCCAGCTTCGAGAGTTCCTGGGACTCGTGAATTTCTACCGTAGGTTTATCCCGAAATGCGCCAACATCCTTCACCCTCTCCACAGCCTACTTGCGGCATCTGGATCTAAGGCAACTGCCATTCAGTGGAACGACCAATCCACACAAGCATTCCGGATGATAAAGGAAGCTCTCGCAAATGCTACCATGCTCACGTACCCGCAGCTGGGTGTTCCTCAGTGCGTCATGGTGGACGCCTCCGATGCAGCGATTGGAGCCGTGTTGCAGCAGAGGGTGAGCGGAGTGTGGCGACCAATTTCTTTCTTCTCCAGAAAACTGAGCCCGTCCGAACGAAGGTACAGCACCTTCGGTAGGGAACTCCTGGCCATATACGCGGCTATCCGGCATTTCCGACATTATGTGGAAGGACAAGAATTTTTTGTGCTCACGGATCACAAGCCACTCACCTACGCATTGCGCGAACTCCGATTCTGGTGCTCACGTGGCACGGGAGCTCCGCCAAATGTCGTACATCGCAGAATTCACGACAGATATACGCCATGTTAGTGGCAGGGATAATGCTGCTGCCGACGCTCTTTCGCGCGGTCCAGTGAATGCCATCAGCCTGCCGAGCGGCGTAGACTTCACCACACTTACGACGGCTCAACGCAGTGATGGAGAATTGAAGCGTCTACTGACGTCTTCAACCAGCGCCTTGAAGCTGCAATGGTTGGCAGAACTCACAGGATCCGTATGCTGCGACATGTCTACCGGCAAGGCCCGACCGTTCATCCCCTCGAACCTCCGTCGCAGCATTTTTGACTTGCTGCACAGCTTGGCGCATCCCGGGATTCGAGCCACGCAACGGCTATGCACAGCGAGGTTCGTGTGGCCAGGAATAAACCGGGACGTCCGATACTGGACACGAGAGTGCATCGCATGCCAGCGCTCCAAAGTTCAGCGACATACTGTGACCCCCTTGGGATCCTTCCCTCTGCCGGACTGTCGATTTGCCCATGTGCATGTTGACATTATGGGACCACTGCCGTTGTGCCAGGGGCAAAGCTACTTGCTAACCTGCATCGATCGCTTCACGCGATGGCCGGAGGCCGTGCCCATTCCAGACATGACTGCTGATACTGTCGCCCGCGCACTTATCTTCCACTGGGTGGCCCGCTTCGGAGTGCCAGCAACCGTGACTACGGATCGCGGAACACAGTTTGAGTCCGCCCTGTTCGCAAGCGTCACCCGGCTCTTGGGTACTCACCGCATCAGAACAACTGCCTACCATCCGATTAGCAACGGTATAGTGGAAAGGTTCCATCGCCAGCTGAAGACGAGCCTGACGGCTACTGCGAGTCACAGTTGGGTAGAGGCACTGCCGTTTGTTCTGTTGGGCGTTAGGACGGCTCTGAAAGCAGATATTGGATGCTGCTCCGCTGAACTAGTGTACGGAACAACGCTTCACCTCCCAGGGGAGTTTTTCACTACCAGTAAGGACGAAAACGTGTACGCGAACGCGGACTACGCCGTGCGACTGCGAGACATCATGAGCAAGCTACGCGCTGTTCCTCCGGGCCGCCCGCAGCCCGGCCAGTCTACGTGGACCGGGAACTCTCCTCCTGCTCTCACGTGTTTGTGAGGCACGACGCCGTACAGCCTCCACTCCGGCCCCTGTACGACGGGCCTTTCAAGGTGCTGCGACGGGCAGACAAGCACATTACAATCGATAGAGGTGGTCGTCACGACGTGGTTTCTCTAGACCGCATAAAATCAGCACACATGGACTCCGACAGCGAAGCACCTGCACCACCTCGAGCTCCATCTTCGCAGGCACCCCCGGCAGACCACGTAGCGCAGCCCCAACAAGTCCTCAAACGGTTTACGCGAAGTGGACGGTGTACGAGACCCCCGGTGCGCATGAACTTATGAACCGCAGTGGGTCGTCCGAGTGCGGTCGTTGTGCGCGCACTCACTAGGGGGGGAGTACTGTGGCGACGCAAAGCGGTGCTTCTGTGTGCGGTGCAGAGAGCGCATGCGCCCGCACAAGAAAGTTATCTTCGAGAGGAAGGGTGATAATAAAAGTCAGTTGTTGTTTGGGACGCGAGTTGTTCACTTGCGCAGCTCTGCCGAGCGACGCGTCTCAACAAGCTCCTTATGCACTTTTGCAGCGTGGTTGAGTTTAATGTAGATGTAGTGAAGCTCGGGTATGGGTGCGTGTGGGGGGCATAGTGAGAGAAAGAGAAGAAGCAAGTGGGATTAGAACAGCCGGCCCGCAGCAGACAGTGCTGTGTCTGTCTCTTATGTATTAAAATATTCATAGTCCTTTTAACAGTGACATCCTTTATGCTTGGTTTGAAGTCTCGTCCACACTGAAGGCGAAGCAGAAAAATGAGTAAGCGGGCTTTTCGGGGCAGTGAGATGGTGAGTGCGTGCACCATTTCAGACCGCACGCCTCCTTTGGCTGACCATGTGGCCGAAGAGGCAAGGCATCTCGTGCTTTTGTGCATGTGTCGCTATCACGTGGCACTGCTTCTCTCAAAATACACCACCACCACTGCATGGCATTCTGATTGGTTGCGGCAAAGCAGAGAGCTTTGACGGAAGTTAAAAAAAAAGACCAATCTCCAAAGTGATCCAGCTTGCTGCATCGTTTGCCACTCACTTTTGCTGGCTCGAAAGAGGTTTCCTAGCTTTCTCGCTTCAACCCCGCCATCCTCGGTGCGACTGAGCCTTGAAAAATTATACTGCATTTACAGCTGACTCGTACTACATAGAGAACACAGTGCATTGTGACCACCATTTATATTGCAAGTCAAGTGCTAAATGAACTTACAAACTCGAAGGATGCTACTGTGAGCTTTTCTTTCCTTCAGCAGGCCACAGGTCTTTCAGAGGTACCAGACTGAGCAACATAACATGGCGGCGATAGGCATCTGTCTGTCGGAACTGGCGGTCTGTACCGTGCAGTCTGTCAAGCACACCCAGCACTCCAAAATTGTTGTTGAACCTGCAGAGTCACAACACACGAGAGATTTCTATCCAGCTGACAAGTGCCCGCACGACACCACAGACCAATGCACACTATTCATTATTTTACAAATGCCTCACTGCATAAAATCCTGGTAAGACAGCCAACTACGTGGTGCAGCAAAACAAGCAGGCAGAAAAATATAGTATGCCTCAAACAAACACAACATACAAGATGTAGAAATACACCAAACCTCGATAACATAAATTTATTGAGATTGGATAAATACTTTGCCTTATTTCAGTGGCAGACAAATTAAATCTGGCAAAAGCAAAAACATCTCAGAAAGCAATCGAAGGCAATGAGCATGCCACCCTGGGTCTTCTTAAGGAGGATAGATTAAAATTTTATGCATTTCGAAGCATGTACTCTGGCAAACTTCTTTCTCGCACTCTTCAGATGTCTTGGGATGCCTCAGGAACTTGCATCATTCATTGCAGCCCAATACAGCATTTGTGTCACCCCTTAAAAAAAATGCACTGCACATACTGTATTTTTCAGAGTATAAGACGTGACTTTCTGAAATTTTAGTAGGTGCATCTTATGCAAAGGTGCATCTCATATGTTCTAACTGTCATGTGATCTTGAGCGAATATATGTTCATATTTTACTTGCAAGTATGATCACCTGTACACGATAGCATTAATGAAAAAAGATATTCAATATTGTTATAGCAATGAAGCAACCGTTACCTTGGATGTCAGTTACTTGCAGTGCGGCGGTCATGCAGAATATAGCAGCGATAAAGGCTGTTAGTATAATACCCGTGCCACACGAGCAGAGAAAATGGCATTTACCTCCTAATGCCTTCAGATTGAATGTCATTCGCGTGGTGCCACATGGATGAACGAAATGGCATTTGCCCAAATGCCATTCGTCACCTAATGCCATCGCCAGAACTCATTAGACTGAGAAATGCGTACTCTCGACGGCACACCTGATGAAGTAAATGTATAAAATGACATTTGATTCGACTTGAAGGAAACTTTTCGCGTATTTCATTTTCACTAATCACTTAAACAAGTGCTTAAAAACTTATCTTCTGCTGGTAAACACTGTAAAATAAATGCGACAAGCGCCATTTTCTTTTTACGCTGCGGATCTTAAGTTGCTAAATGGTCGGTTGCAACATCGTGAAACAAAGTAACAAACAAAATCTAATGGCGACATAATATGCTTACTTATACATTTATTTATTATATGTTCTGTATGAAGATTCTAAGCGCTTGTTTATTTTTTTTTATTGCTACTCACCCAATGCTCACAAAGATGGTGCTGCGATCGACATCATCAAGCCAAATGTCATTAGCTTTGGATGTGTAACCGTGCCGCCGAAAAAAAAGTCTTTGAATGCCATTTTCTATGCCCGTGTGGCTTGGGTATAATACACACTATATAGTACCAATTGTTTCTTCTTAAAGCACTAAATCTATGAAGCTGATACATTAAATAAAAAAGGGCACCCCATTGTGCGCTATTTGCATCTCTCAGGACTAATAATGAAGTTTGAACGCCCAACCGCAATGTTTTGTAGCGACAATGTAACACTCGTGATTCAGTGGTTCCAAAAACGAAAACACCCATCTGTTATCATGATCAGTTTCCATGTGCGACTTCTTGGCAATGCAGCAGCAGTCGTAGCTTCCGGTTTCCTGTTGCCATTCACCTTTAGTGAGTGAGTGAGTGAGTGAGTGAGTGAGTGAGTGAGTGTGTGTGTGTGTGTGTGTGTGTGTGTGTGTGTGTGTGTGTGTGTGTGTGTGTGTGTGTGTGTGTGTGTGTGTGTGTGTGTGTGTGTGTGTGTGTGTGTGTGTGTGTGTGTGTGTTTCGACGGTTTCGCCTTTTTGGTAGGCCACCCAAGTTTTGCTGTTACTGCGCAACTGTACATCTTCCTGCCTAGCCTCATACTGTTACCGTGTGCCGGAGGATGTGGCTTCGAATGAAATGTGATAATACTCACTTTCTACATCTTAGGACAGTATTATGAGTTTTATACTGCTGCTTACAGATATTCGGTGCCTTGCGGCACAACGTATTTTGCAATGAATAAACTCGGCATGCGTAATAGTGTTTCATCATGTTGACCGGGTTAAGAATGGGTGCGTCTTAAAACAGAGGTGCAATAAATATATATATTGCAACGAGCAAGGTTGCGTAAAAACACAGGTTATTATTCCAGAAACGTTAGCCGCAACAAGCTGGTACAGGCAGGAACCCGGCAAGCACGAGCCACACACGGACGTCAACGTCTTCTTTCACGCTGGCACAGAGCTGGCGCCACTATGCTTCGGTACAATTACTCCCCGCGCAGAAAGGAGCCAACCTGGCGACCTAGGGAAAGGACACGACAAGGGGGTCATAGCACGGTTTGAGGCGTGATACGTGTACTGTTTCACGCCCACGGCAGCGTTGGTCCGAGGGTGGATCAATAGGCTCAACTTCATAGTTGACAGGAGATGTTTGCCGCACCACACGGTAGGGGCCATGGTATTTCGACGAAAGCTTCGGGGAAAGACCGGGAGGAGTAGACGGGACCCAGAGCCAAACCAGCATTCCTGGGTTATAGTGTACAGTAGACGCAGAGGAATCGTGGTCAGTTTTCTGGCGCCATTGGTCTTGTGCGGTAAATGAGCGAGCGAGTTGACGACACTCTTCGGCATAAGCAGTTGCTTCGGAAACAGGCGTTGCTTCGGAAACATCAGGCCTGTAAGGGAGAATGGTGTCCATGGAGCATGATGGCTCACGTCCGTACAGAAGGAAGAAAGGAGAAAAGCCAGTGGTTGTTTGTGGCGCAGAGTTGTACGCGTACGTGACAAAAGGGAGCACTTGGTCCCAATTAGTGTGGTCGTCAGAGGCGTACATGGCAAGCATATCTCCAAGGGTACGGTTAAAGCGTTCTGTCATGCCATTGGTTTGGGGATGGTATGCCGAGGATTTCCTATGGACAGTGCGACATGCCTTGAGTAGCTCGTCGACGGCGTTCGAGAGAAACACGCGTCCACGGTCACTGAGTAATTCACGAGGTGCACCGTGTCGCAAAATGAGATGGTGAAGAAGAAAGGACGCAACGTCTTTCGCAGTGGTAGCAGGCAGCGCAGATGTTTCAGCGTAGCGTGTTAAATGATCCACGGCGACGATAATCCACCGGTTGCCTCGAAGAGAGTTGGGTAGAGGACCATAAATATCAATTCCGACGCGGTCGAATGGTCTCGCTGGGCAGGTTAAGGGTTGCAAAGGGCCAGCAGTGCTGTGAGAAGGCGTCTTGCGTCGTTGACACGTGGTGCATGACCGAACGTACTGGCGAACGTGCCGATACATGCCGCGCCAGTAGTATCTTAGACGAAGGCGAGAGTAAGTCTTAAATACTCCAGCGTGGCCACACTGGGGGTCATCGTGAAAGGCAGCGCAGATGTCCGAACGCAAATGACGAGGGATGACAAGGAGCCACCTACGGCCATCCGTCACGTAATTGCGGCGATACAACAAGCCTTCACGGACAGCAAAGTGTCTTGCTTGACGAGAGAGGGAGCGTGAAGTCGTTTCTGAGGAACTGTGAGAGAGGACGTCGAGCAAAGAATTGATCCAGGGATCCTTGCGCTGTTCGGATGGCATGTCAGTGATGCTCAACGATGACGAATCGCAAATGGCAGTTGATAAGCAGGCAAGGTCAGGAGGCAGTGGAGAACGGGATAGTGCATCGGCGTCTGAATGTCTGCGTCCTGAGCGATAAACAACACGGATATCGTATTCCTGAAGGCGTAAAGCCCAACGAGCGAGGCGGCCAGTGGGATCTTTCATGGACGCTAACCAGCATAAGGCATGGTGATCTGTGACAACATCAAACTGGCGTCCGTAAAGGTAGGTGCGAAATTTTCCTATAGCCCAAATGATAGCCAAGCACTCCTTTTCCGTGACGGAATAGTTGGACTCTGCCTTCGTTAGTGTACGGCTGGCATAGGCGACAACGTACTCGTCGCAGCCATCCTTGCGTTGAGCGAGAATGGCACCGAGGCCGACACCGCTTGCATCCGTGTGAATTTCAGTGGGTGCATTGGGATCGAAGTGGCGGAGAACTGGCGGAGAGATGAGTAGCCGGCGTAGCGCCGTGAATGCCTCATCGCAGTGGGAATTCCAGCCAGAGAGGTCCGTGCTACGGGAGAGAAGTTGAGTCAGAGGGGCAATTATAGAGGCAAAATTGCGAATGAAACGCCGAAAATAGGAACACAAGCCTATGAAACTACGAAGCTCCTTTAGGGTAGTAGGCTTGGGGTACTCGGCAACGGCACGCAGTTTGGCAGGATCTGGCGATATTCCTTCTTTTGAAACGACGTGGCCGAGAATTGTGAGTTTGCGGGCGCCAAAACGACATTTCTTGAAGTTAAGTTGCAACCCGGCTGCCGTAAGGCACTGGAGAACTTGTTCCAGACGGGAAAGATGAGTTTTGAAATTCGCCGAGAATACAACTATGTCGTCTAAATAGCAAAGACAGATGTGCCATTTAAGTCCCCTGAGGACACTGTCCATCATTCTTTCAAAAGTCGCAGGCGCATTGCAAAGACCGAAGGGTATTACATTAAATTCATATAAGCCGTCAGGGGTCACAAACGCCGTTTTTGGACGGTCTGGTTCAGCCATTGGTACTTGCCAATATCCAGAGCGCAGATCCAGTGAAGAAAAAAACTCCGCACCTTGAAGGCAATCCAAGGCGTCATCAATGCGTGGCAGGGGATAAACATCCTTGCGTGTGATGTTGTTTAGTCGACGATAATCCACGCAAAACCTGATGGAGCCATCCTTTTTTCGCACGAGGACCACTGGCGAAGCCCAAGGACTGTGTGAGTGCTGAATAACACCACGTTGCAGCATCTCGTCGACGTGTTGAGTGATGACGTCACGCTCGGCCTGCGAGACGCGGTAGAGGCGCTGACGAAGTGGAGTATGATGACCGGTGTCGATATGGTGAGCGACAACTGACGTGCGTC